AATAAACCCACGGCCCCCCAGCCCAGGAGCTGTGACCTCTGTCTCCCCCTCACCCACTTCACAGCCACACCTGCCTCAGGGCCTTTGATCTTGCTGCTCTGGCCTCTCTTCACCCAGCACCATCTCTTTCAGGAAGCCCCCCCCCCAGCCCCTCATGCCCGTTCATGTTGTTACTTATCACTCTTCTAAGGTTGATTATAACTCTGTGTGATGATTAGATTAGCATCTGCCTTCCCACCCGACCAGGAGTCCCTCAGGACAGGAACTGTGCAGAACAGGACTTGGTATACAGTAGGTGCTCAACACTGACTTCCTGAATCAATGACTGAATGCAGCTGTGAAATGAGGCCTGCCACAGTTTTGACTCTGGAGCTGCTGGGAGGAGCTGAAGAAGGATGAACACTCAGAAGAGCCTAGGTTAATGAGTATACAGCAGGTGCTCAATAGTAAACACTGGATCAGGGCTCTGCTAAGCAGGGTTGCCCAACCCATTACGGTAAGGACCAGTGTTCTGGACTCCTTCCTATGATAAAACGGGCACGCAGAGGCCCAGGCAGGGGTCTGTGGGTCTTTCCCTCACAGCAGAAACAGAGCTCAGGGTAGCTTCCGCGAAAAGGGAACCTGATGAAAAAAAAATCCTAGGGGGATGGGCTGCAGGCACGGCTAGATCCAGGGGCTAGGGGCCCATCTTTCTGTACCACTGTCCTCCTGCCCTTCTCTCTGAGGTAGGCTCAGCCTTCCCCCACAGAAGTAGGGTGTTCCTTTTCCCACTCACTTCAGCAAGAGTTGTAGCCAATGCTCAATAAACATCTAATTCCTGCTCCTTGGACCCAGAGGGCTGTGCCTGGGGGTAGGCTTGTGGCCAAACTGGGTCCAGTGCTACTGGGTAGGCCCCAGACAGAGACTGCCCACAGGGAGGCTCCACTGTGGGGAGTGAGATGGAGGGTTCGAGACTTGAGGGGAGTCAGGTCACTCGTCTTTTTCATGAGGCTGCTGACCCAGCACCCTTTCCTGTCTGAGCCACCTTCTCAGGATGGAGCCCAGCCCTAAGGAATGGGGGTGGGCGGGGGTTGGGGGTGGCGGGGGGTCCCTCCAGTGAATGCATGCCTGGTGGAGGGCAGGCTTGTGCACAAGCTGGGAGGTGGCAACTCCAAGGAGGGAACAGTGAACAGCCACCGGAGCACAGGGGCTAAGGCCTCTGTGTCCCCCATTTAGGTGCATAGATGGGAAACTGTGGCCCCTCAAATGGGCAGGGCCTGGACCTCTTGCCCCTCAGTTTTAACGGCTTCCTGGTGTTCCTCACCCACTGGCCGCATCTCCTTTTGCCATAAAATCCAGTGGTTGGGAGTTTCCATATTTTAAAACGGAAAAGTCTGTTTTTGCAAACTCCGTGGGAGGTGGGAGGAGGAGGGGCAGACCGGGTCTGAGAGACACGCGCCGCTGCTGCCACCTGGTGGCCATGGTGGGAATGCGCGGGGTGCGCGTGGAGGAACCAGAAAAGATGAAGTGCATGTGGAATGAATGAATAAATACTTGAATTCTCGGGCTCCTATTGGGATGTTGAGCAGGAATTCAGGCTTCAGACAGGAGGGGGGAACCCAAGAGCCCAAGGGAAGGCTCATTTATTAAGGCTTAGACTCCCCCAACAGCTCTATGAGTTCTATGTTATCTTCACTCCCCTCGTACAGGGGAGGAGACTGAGGTTAGAAAGCGGCCACCACCTCCCCCTTCTTTTCCCCTCACCTAGATCCTCTGTACCTGGAGACCCTGCAGTGCAGGGCGGAGCGGAGTGGCCGGACTCCCCACCCAGTGCTCCTGGAACAGAACCTCCAGCCCAGGACCCTGGGATCCGCTTTGAGCCCCCTGGGCCACGCTCCAGTCTATTCCACCTCAACAGGCCAATGGCAGTGCCTGCCCCTGCCCCAAATGTCAAGCCCAGCCTGGTGCAGCCACTTCTGTTTCACGGAGGTTTTTAGGGTTCCCCTCACAGGACAGGTGGCAGCAGGTGCTGGACAGAGTGGGGAGAGGGGCGATGGTGGCAGAACCTGGGAGGGGGAAGTGGGGTATGGGGCACTTGGCTGGAGTTTGACTCAGTTGTTATGTCTGTAAAATGGCAAAATAGGACAGGATGTGCCTCAGGCATCACGCGAGTGTCTGAACAGAACAGGCTGGGTATGCAATAAGCATTTAATAACCAGCTGCTGTGACTTTAATCGTCAGTCTTTCTGTCCTGTCCATAAGATGAGGTGGACATTCCCTTTTCCCCTTCAGGCCTCCAGGCCCGTATGTCGAGGACCGTCAGACCTGGGACTCTGCATGTGATCTCCCAGGAGCAGGGACGGTCCAGCCGCCTGGGCAGAGCTGCCCTCCAGACTGTGCTGCCCACTGGGCTCCAGAACCCCGGCCCCAGGGTGTCCTTGCCCCTGTCTCCTGTCCTCCAAGCACAGCTCTGCGTCTAGGGCTGGCTCAAGGGTGCCCCAGGGCAGTTGTGTCCGGCCCCGGAGCGGGCTGGGTGTGTGCGGGGCGGCCACCTCGCCTTTTCCGCACGGCATGGTCACCACCAGGGCCTCCTTCAGGGACTCTTCCTCCTGCTTCTGGAAGTCTGCCGGGCTGGTCCACTGCCAGGCCTGGAGAGGGAGGACGGGGTGGGGCTGTGGGCGGGGCTCTATTTCCCCCCCACACCCCCACATAAGGGGTGGGCCAGGTCCCCTCTGGATTCATCCTCTAAAACTTGAGATCCATTGGAATGACCTCCACTTCTCTTTGGGAAATTGGCCTGCTTTTCTCATAGTGGATGTGATTGGGCAGGTAACTGGCCCAGCCAATCAGAGCTGGGTTCACGGGTGGGGCATGTGAGCCACGCTGAACCAATCAGTGATGGCCCTGAGAGTTTTGCTCCAGTCAATGGGGGGAGACTGAGCCTGCCTGCGGAAGAAGTGTGTAGGGAGGACAGCACCACGGAAAGGTGAATCCATGGTTCCTGGATCCAGCCATGCCTGAAGCCCCCACCGTGGGATATTTTTTTCCCTTCAGATTCCCTTTTGGTCAAAGTCACTCTGAGTTGTTTCTGCTGTTAGGAGGTTTCTCTCTGGGCCTCTGCTTTCCCATCTGTATAATGGGGCAGGTTTTTGGAGTCCCTGATTTACGAGTTGGAGGAGAATAAAATGAGCTAATTCCTCAGCAGAGCCCTTGCCCAGAGTATATAGACCCATAAACAGGACCGAGAATTACAAAAGGAGCCCTTACCAGCTTCCCCTGGCCGCCAGGAAACTCAACAGCGGTGCTGGCGCAGGGTGTGGGCAGGGGCGGGCACAGGTGTGGCAAGGCCCTGGAGAGACAGGGGAGCCGATCAGAGGACAGCGCGTCTGTCTGTTCTCCTGTTTTGTTGTTCTGACTTGTATTTTTCATCTTCATTGATTACAAAGGCAGTGAGGACGTGGACTGGGGAGGGCAGGGCAGGATTCTGACAGACCCGGGGTCACAATGTAGCTCTGCCCCGACTGCTGCCGGCCTGACCATCCGCACCTCAGCCACTGTTACTGCCACTGCCACTGCCACTGCACTGCCACTGCTACTGCTACTGCCACTGCCACTGTTACTGCTACTGCTACTGCCACTGCTACTGCTACTGCTACTGCCACTGCTACTGCTACTGCTACTGCCACTGCTACTGCTACTGCTACTGCCACTGCTACTGCTACTGCTACTGCCACTGCTACTGCTACTGCTACTGCCACTGCTACTGCTACTGCTACTGCCACTGCTACTGCTACTGCTACTGCCACTGCTACTGCTACTGCTACTGCCACTGCTACTGCTACTGCTACTGCCACTGCTACTGCTACTGCTACTGCCACTGCTACTGCTACTGCTACTGCCACTGCTACTGCTACTGCTACTGCCACTGCTACTGCTACTGCTACTGCCACTGCTACTGTTACTGCCACTGCCACTGCCATTGCTACTGCCACTGCCACTGCCACTGCCACTGTTACTGTTACTGCTACTGTTACTGCCACTGCCACTGCCACTGCTACTGCTACTGCCACTGCCACTGTTACTGCCACTGCCACTGCCATTGTCACTGCTACTGCCACTGCCACTGCTACTGTTACTGCCACTGCCACTGTTACTGCCACTGCCACTGCCACTGCCACTGCTACTGTTACTGCTGCTGCTACTGTAGCTGTTGTGGGGGACGGTGTCCAGGAGAGGCTGGGAGTTACCTGTTCAGGCTGAAGTACCCGAGGACACCCAGGAGGAGGATGCTCAGGAAGCTCCCCAGGGAGGCGAGGAAGATGGACAAACCGGACAGCTCCGGAAGCTGGACATCTGGAGTGAGAGAGCTTGGGTTGGGGGAGGGGTGCCTCCTGCCTCTCGTCAGGGAGGGAGCGGGTGGGTCAGGCCCTACATCAACTCCCTGCAGACCCTGGCACACCACCGGCCCCACCATGCCTCACTTTCCTCATCTGTGAAGTGGGAGGCCAGGGAGTCTCCTGGCCCGTGACGGCGGGATAAGGCCTGGCACACAGGAAGTGCTCTGTCGCGCCCTTGGACCCGGGATGCCCACACCACACTGAGACTATTGGTTCTGTCCAGGTTTCACTGCGAGGACAGCAGGCAGGGACCGTGGCAAGAACAGGGATCATTTAGTCTCCAAATCTCTCCCAGGGACAATCCCCAAGACAATGGAGCCCGCCTCCCCCCTCACTCATTCATATGCATTCCTGTGCTGCCCGAATACCAGCTGGAGGGGGAAGACCAGACACAGACACCCCCACCCATCCCCAAGGTGTCAGGTGGGGAAAAGGGGCGGTCACAGCTGGAGGGTGCCCAGAGGGAAGCACAGAAGGCTTCCCGGAGGAAGACGCTTTGGCACTGGGTTTTGAAGGATGAGTAGGAGTTTGACAGCAGAGAAAACAAACATTCCAGGCATTTGAGGGGCCCTCCTGGGCAAGGCCACAGGAGTGTGAGAGAGGTTCAAACGGGGAAGCTGTAGGAGATGAGGTGGGTGGAGGCGGTGGGAGCCGATCAGGCTGGGACTTTCTCCTGAAGGTGATGCATGGAGGGCAGGGCCGCTGGCGGACTCATGAACAGGGCAGTGCAGGATGGGTAACACCTGGGCCCTGCCCCGGGCCCCCACTCACCTATGCGGAAGCGCTGGGGCTGGCTCCAGGCGCCCCTCAGTGTCGCGGTGTCTGCTCGTACCTGCACGCTGTAGGCTGTGCCAGCTCTCAGGCCAACGAGGGTGACCTGGGTCTCTGTGGGGTTCACGGGCAGCTCTGCAGGGGGAGGCAGCCATGGGTCCCTGGACCCCCTCTACTCCCAGGAGGCTGGGGTCAGGCAGTGGGGTGTCCCTGGTCCCACCGGCGGGCTGTCACGCCCAGTGGGAGTGGAGTTGCTGATATGAGGGGTTGCCATTCATACACCTGGCGCACTGTGAGCACCTGGCAGTGCCCCCGGGCCCTCTCGGGGCAGTCGAGACCCCTGAGTCCAATTACCTTGTGTTATTGGAAAACGAAGGGCCAGAGAGGGGCGGTGAGGTGCCCAGGGTCACATCGCGAGGCAGGACTCAAGCCCAGACCCCTTCCTCCCCCAGCCAGGCCCGCGCTGCCCCACATACCGGTCGCCTGGCTGCTGTCCTCATCCCGGTAACGTACCACGTACGTCTTCAGGACGCCAGGGCAGGGGCTCAGCAGGGACGGCGTCCAGTCCACAGACACCGAGTCCGGACCGAGCACCTTCACCCAAACGTGCTGTGGGCTCCCCGCTTCGGAGGCTGCAACCAGCGTCATGGCAACCAGTGTCATGGCAACCAGCGTCATGGCAACCAGTGTCATGGCAACCAGTGTCATGGCAACCGGCGTCATGGCAACCGGCGTCATGGCAACCAGTGTCATGGCAACCAGCGTCATGGCAACCAGTGTCATGGCAACCGGCGTCATGGCAACCGGCGTCATGGCAACCAGTGTCATGGCAACCAGCGTCATGGCAACCAGCGTCATGGCCATGGTCAACCCCAGAGCCCCGGCCAGGCACTTCCGTCCCAGCACTGCCCACCCCCAGCCCCACCACTCGGGCACCGCCACGCCCCTCTCTGAGCCTCCGGGATCTTATCTATGAGATGGGCACCGCCTCCCAGGTGTCTTAGGAGTTGACTGAGCTCACAGCCCACACACAGCCGGAACTCTAAACGCTTATTCCTCCTCCTGACTCCTGGGCCCGCTGCTGAGGCTCCAGGGAGACCGCCCTGCAAGTTCGGGCCACTCACCATTGCCCCCGAAGTGGTAGGCGGACGAGACGGTGGACCATGAGGTGGGGTTCCTGGGCTGTGCCGAGGAAGAGACGGTGACGCGGTAGCACGCCCTCTGCCCCAGCGCCCCGGCAGCTCGGCTCC